GTACCCTGTGTACCCTGTGTAACCTGTGTACCCTGTGTACCCTGTGAACATACAAAACGAGATTGTGGACAGCCAGAGAGCTTCCATTCATTCCAACTGATGTTCGCCAGGTTTCCTGTATACACGGTATACAGGGTATAGTTAGGTATACATGAATATACAGGGTGTACAGGGTATACAAGGTGGACAGGGTATACGAGGTATACAAGGGTATACATGATATACATGGGTACACAGGGTACACAGGGTACACAGGGTACACAGGGTACACAGGGTACACACGGGTACACACGGGTACACACGGGTACACAGGGTACACAGGGTACACAGGGTACACACAGGTACACAGGGTACACAGGGGACACAGGGAGAATGGGTAACAGGGAGTCTATATGGAGACTGCCATGAATTACTTACCCTATTTTGAGCACGCAGCGCGACAGTGAGCACAAAGCGCGAGCGAACTGAGCGAGCGAAAGCGCGACGTTCGTGCGGGTCCTACCACACCAGAACAGAAAACCAAGCGAACGACTTTGAGAAAGTCTAGGGACCTTGAGATCAATGTCAGTATCTGAGCAACTGCACACCCACCCCTCCCCTAGTCCTATATTAACCCTTACTTGTTATCAGTTGACTTTTAATAAGTTAGGGGAGGGGCGGGTGAGAAGTTGCTCAGATACTGACACAACCTCGTTCCCAAGGTCTCTCATCTTCTCACCCCTCTTCTCTTGTTCCAGGGGTCGGGAAGATGAGACCCTGGGAACGAGGTTGATACAGACATTGATTAGAAACTTATACCCATTGTGTCTCAATGCTTTTTGTGTAACTTTTTCAGCTTGTATAAGAAAGGAACAAGTACTGGTAAGACAGCTTCTGGGTTTAAATCTTATGGTAGGGTGGTTGTTTGAAAAGACTACTTCACATACAAATATAGACAGTCACGCAATATCAAATTTTTAACTCTGGATATTGCATTTCTAGTGTTTTGACTGGTTCACCCAACTCCAGTTATCAGCTCCTATTGCAAGTCACCTTATATGGAAATGGATTGTGCTAACTTCTGCAAAAGCTCCAAATATCCAAACATTTAGGATTTAATAAAATTTGATGAAACAAACAACAAACATATGAAATGCATATATATGAACTGCGGTTATGAAATATATATGTGCACGATCCTTCGCAGTAAAGCACTATTTAAGCAATAGTGAAAATCAGACCTGAAAAAAATTTTTTT